ACTTCATTTTAGCTGAAATAAAATGGGTAACCACACACAGAGCCAAACCAAGACTTTAATGAATGCTCACAAATTTATATGGTTTCACTCCATGAAAGATGTTGCCGACAAAATATGATCAGGGAAAGTTGTGGGACTCTGTTTCTCCCTGCTGTCTGTGTCACCCAGCACTAATACAGCCCTCCCCATGGAGCCAAGGCAGTTCATTGATGCTATTCCTGCTCCCCATGCTGTAATCATTGCTGCTGGTTGTCATCTCCCGAGGCTCAGATCTCCCCAGCTTCAGACACCGAGCAGGGGCAGCTGGGCTGGGAGCAATGTCACCTCACGCTCAGCAGGCAGGTGGGACGGGTGCCCAGGGACAAGCAGCAGCTGCTGCTGAACTTGCTCTGACTGGAGATGCCTCTCTTTCTCTGTCAGAGGCAGAAGCAGCCCATGGTGACCACACTGCTGACTTAGGCACTCCCCAAAGGAGGATGAAGCTGTCTGATGCAGAGTTACCTATTTTGTTCATGCTGAATAATCTTCTCTTGGCCTTTCTTACACCAAACAATCTGCACACCTGTGGGCTATGGGTCTTGTTGCCTTATCTCTGCTCTCACACTCTGGAGGAAATTTAGAGATGCATCAATACAATTTCTTAGAGTGACATGACCCTTAAATAAAGTAAATGTTGGGAATTAATAGGGGAACTGATCTCTTTTTGCTGCTGAAAAACAACAAAAACCCTATTGGTGCATTCTGTTAAAAGAGCCTGAAAATAAATTATATGCTGCTCTTATGATGAGAGTCATGCAGGTTTATATTATTATTTTAAATAATCATACAGTTATTCAAAGTAATTTTGTTATTTGGCTTTTGGGGCTTATCACACAAAGGAACGAGGGCAGTGACCTGATCTTTCATATGAAAAATGAAGACACATAAACTGTCTAACCAGACACCTCACTATGCATGGAGAATAAGACCATTTTTATGCAAATAGAATCTGAGACCAAAATGTCTTTTTCCTTCACCTCCTTTTTACTTCATTATTAAATAAATCATAAAGATGTCACTAGAGACCACACAGAAAGAGGTCTCGAATAGTAGAAATAAGAGCTTTCTGCCTTTATCTATTTTCAATTTTAAAAGGTATTCTGAATTTAAAAAATAGGGAGAGGGGAAAAAAAGCATGGTGCTCTTCAAATGCCTGATTTCCCAGGAATAAAAACAACCTCTATGTCCTTTAGTAATAATACAAGTTTTCAAAACCAAGCACAAGTAAATGAAGATTAAACTATGGTCCATGAACTTAATTGAGATTCACATCATCCAATGCTCTTCAAATTCAAATTACTACCAGACAGTGAATCTTTTTGGCTAATTTATGCAACTAAAGTTTAGATGATAACTTCTTCCCTCTCTCTTTTAATTATTTTAATTGAGAGTTATTCTTCAGTCATAGTGCTGGAAGTTCTGCACACAAAAGCTGAATAATAATTTGTCACTTTTCGTAGATGCTCCATATCATGTACAATGCTGAGACCACAGTGCAGAAAGTGAGCAGGGAAAACCAATCATCTTTGTGTTGAAGAATAGATTAACACTGAATTTGTCTGCCATTTGAGCAAATACCCAAAGCTAACTACAGCTGGTTTGAGTCAGGTTTTTGGTTTTCAGTAAACAATATTGAATATCCTGTTATAATACAGAATTCTCTGTAGATCAGTCATATCACACTGAAAATTGAACACACATGTATGTCTTACCTAAGGGGGGCACAAATTTGGAGCTGGAAGATAGTCATGGATATTGTCTACCAAAAAAAGGGTTACTCCAGAAGAGATGTTAAGGAATAGTTAAGGTTTAGATTACAGAGTTTGTATTTGGGACAACTTCATTTGGTAGTGAAGTTCTTAGTCCTTGACCTTGTGGATATTTCAGCTCTTAATGTGACCTAAGGAAAAAAAGCCTTTGTCCAGATTGGGTGGGATTCCTGTAAATGCTGCATTTCAGGGCCATGATTGCTGCTCCATGCTCACTGGGAATGTGGGAGAGATAGCTTTGAATGGCAGTGGGACGTGAAGGGAATGTGGGGTGTGCTGTGTGAGCTGGGGTGTGAAGGACCCTTTCCAATATGTTCATGGGGACCTCTGGAGAGTGGGGCTCGAGCCATCCACCCAAGGGAGCACAGGTGATTTGCTTTCTGTGGTGATCCTGGCAGCAGGATTATTCAGTGGATTTGTCTTCCTGACCTCAACCCCTCTGATGCAAATTATTACTCTCCAGCTCTTCCTCCCCTACTTGTTGGACTGAACAAGCTTGGTATTCTTCATATCTGTCAATCAACAGAGTCTCCATCCTGCTGGTCATCTGAACAGCAACTGAAATACAAGCCCATATATCTGCAAGAGTAAATGTCTCTTTTCACTTTGAACCAGGGAGATGCAATATTTAACCATGCAGGAGTAAGCTGAAGGGTGGCATTTGTGATGAGGAAGAAATGATTTAGGCAGCTCGTGTTGTGAACTAGCATGATGTCTTTGGATAGGAAGAAAGGGGAAAAGTCCTTTAAAGCTATAGAGGAACATCACCAGATACACTATTTGAGCTGTTAGTTAGTGGTAAAATGAAATATTTCCTACCCATGAAAGTACAAATCATGTATTGAATCAGATTCCAAAGACGATGTAGTATGATAAGAAATGCCAAAAGTGTTATGCAGAATGCTAACTCCTGTGAGAAAATAAGAAGAGTGCTTCACCAGTGTTGTCATCACATGAAGTACTCATTATCACTATGTTCTGTCAGAAAGCTCTGTTTCCACAGCACTTTTCCATGATATACTTTAATTAGAGGAAGGGAGTAAATACAGTGATGTGAAGAACATCAGCTGGGGTTAAAAAAAAAAAAAAAGGGAATATAGCACTTCAGAGTGGGTTGAGTAAAATCACATGCAGGAAAAATACAAAGTTGAAGTTCACATAGCTGAAAATGATCACTGCCCCATGACAGCAGTCATTTCCTTTGTGACATAGACACATCTCAGCTCAGATCCTTAAACCTGATCACAGCATCATCTCATGGCATCACTCTCACTCAGGCACTCTGCTCTTTCTATTCTTCTGCACATTTCTGCTTCTTGTGCTTTCCTATCTCTTGCTGTGTCTCCGGCCCATTGGCAATCTCATCCTCAGCTGTTTCCCCTGCTCCTTTCTCCCACATCCCCAGAACCATGAGCTACTCTACTCAACATCTTCCTCCTCCTTCCAAAATGCCAGTGTCACCTGTGATCTGGGAAAATAGTGAGATGCAGCAACCCCAAACTCACATGCCAACAGGAACTGACATGTTTTCTATGTGCCTGGTTTTGCTCCTGGTACTCAATGAAGAAAGCTGGGTACCAGACTGCTGTTGTTTTTCAGACAGTTGCCCACATCAAACACAAGTTTTGTTCCTTTTCTTCTTGGTGGGCCTGAGGGACACAGACCTCACTTAGGCAAGCTCCCAGGAAATTAACCTAGTACAGAACTTACCTACCTATGGTGAGGTTAGGCTGCCTGGTCATCAGTGTAACTGATAAAAGGAAACAGCTCTTAGGAAAGCTAAGAGGAGACAATAAGTTTCACTGTGAATTTACTTGTTGCCAGCTCATTTTGAGTATACATAAGAAAAAAAATGTCAGAGTAGATTTGATAATTTTAAAGTACTTTTCGTTTTAATTCCACTCAAATATTCCCAAATAAAACCCTGACTTGAAAAATAGCCACTGAAATTTAGTGGTCAGATGTTGATTTTGTTAAGAAAGTCAGCAAAGTCAGCCACCACATTTAAGTATCACTGACTGAAATCTCTAGCAGAAATTCCCCTTTTATCATATCTCTGTTAATTCCTTCTCTTAACTTTTTGCCTGGAACATGATTGTTTATCTATTGTCATACAATTGCAGCCTATATAGCTGCTTATGTATGCTATATAGTCATCTCCAGACTTAAAGGAAACAGCATGAAATACTTAATATCCACTTTTTCTTTCTCTCTCTCACAGACACAGACACACAATCTCCTCTCATTGCACACATACAGGTAATTGCTTTGTTAAAACATGCAGCTAGGACCTGTAAATTACTATGGTTTGTTTTACAGTGCTGCTCATGGGCTGGTAACCAGACACTGGAGCAGGACCTGGTGTAGTGTGCAAATCCTTGCACAGCTCTCTCAACTCTGTTCCTTGTGTCTTTGGGCCATGTGGAGTTTGTATACATGTGCTGAAGGAGGATTATTCAAATTCAGGTTATACCAATTCTAATATTGTAATTTTAAGGAAAACATCCTGCTATACTCAACACATCAGTATCTGTTATCCCATCATGCTGCTGAGTGTCTAACACTGAACTGAAATGTATTTTCTTCACGCGCTCTTTTAATCGAGTCTCAAGAATCCTTGGAGCAAACCCTCTGCCACAGATCTGAACCCAGGAAACCACACTCCTTACTGAGAGGCAACCAACAATGCAGGAAGGCTCTGGGTGTTTGCATAGCTTCATGTTCACATGGGGAAGCACTCCAGGTGCAGCCACAGAGGTGCGGAAGGCAAAGCCAAGCCATAGCTGCTCAACCAGTCACGGTAGGGCAGCACATACACGGACTGTCAGCAGGTGATGAGAGTAATCTCATGCACAGGATTTCTCTGCCACTAACACATGCAAATATCTGATGTGCAGAGACATCACTGGCCTCTCCAATAGCTCCGGTGTGTGAGTAATTTGGATAGCAGCTGGCACAAGCAAGGTGCACTGGCAGGTAAGCACAAGCAACCACCAGCATGCTGCTTCAAAGCTATAGTCAGCCTGTCACACATTGAACCATCTATAAATCCAGTTTGTGCTGCTTTCACATGTTTGAAATTGCTCTTATTTTTTAGCATGCAGAGGAAAATGAAGCCACATTTTCCTTAACATTGCTGTTCCCGCCTTGCTGCACGTCCCAGCCCTCTGGGGTGACTTTTGGAGCACTGACCTTGGATGTTGCTGCAGTGGCATTACTTTCCTTACCACTCCCTGCTGCACTCTCCTCGATTGTTGCTGCTGTCAGGGCTTCTGCCTTCTTTGCACTTGTTTCCAGAGAAACAGGAGTCCCTACTTTCCCCAGCCCGCTCACTGGGCTTGAGCTTGGGCTGCTTGGTTGCCGTGACTGGGATTTATACCAGCTAGGGTAAAACAGGGGATCCGTGGGTTCTGCTGGGGCCGGCACTTGGGTGTCAGACTCGGGAGTCTGTTGAGAACCACTTGGTGTCACAACAACATCCTTAAGCAGGACAGATAAAGAGAAGAACAAGCAGAGTGCACCACGTTACCTTCCTGCTGTAGCCACATTGTTCTGCTTGTTGTGTTTGTTAGATAGCACTGCAAGGCATAGGTTTGTCCTACTAATATGATCTGAAAGAATTGCAATCAAAATGCAAAGCAAAAGCAACTATCATTTGAATAACACAGACAACAGAAAGAAAATAAATGAACCCAAAAATACAACAGGAGGGTAGAACTAGCTGGGAAGGCGGTGCTACCTGAGAAAGGAGTGAGCAATGGGTTCCTCCATTCAGATAAATCCTCAATTCAATCCTAAAAAACTTAAATTCTGCATGAGAGTCTCATGAACCCATACCAGCCATGAATGACAGGTGTAGGTACCTTCAGATGGCTTGTTGGGTTTTAGGCTAAGAATAACACTTTTGCCAAGGGGTCTGTTGATACAAGCAGCAGAATAAAGGGAATACTGGAGAGAAGCATTTGCCCACAAGCCTTGCCATCAATGTGTAAGCCAAGCACTGTTGCTCTGCCAGGAAGAGGAGCAGCCAGATGAACTGCACCTCTACCTGCATCAAGCTCTTGGGGTTTCTGCACACACAGTCTGCTATCACCACTGCATTTCTGCTTTGCCTTTTTACATCAGAAGGCAAAAACTCAAATACAGGTATCCCCCACACCACAACACCCACATACCATGTCTGACTCCATGCCTGACTATCTCCTAATGGCATTTTACAATTTCTAGAGCAGTATGCTGTACCTTTCTCACCTAAACCTAGAAATTAGAGAATTCTTCTAGGTGGGCAGAGCTGCTTATGCCTAGTTCTTGTTTGCATGAAACCCTGCATCAGTCAAGGAGCAGAAGTTTAGTTAAGTGAGCAAATCTTCAAATTTTGATTTAATCAGTAAAGCCTGATTTAAGAGCATCATCACATGACTGGTGAAAACTCACACGTGTTTTTAGATCAAAGAAAGAATGAATCTATAATATTTATTTTCACTTGTTTTAGGTAGGAAGCTTCCTACAATCAAAGAGCCTTTGTGTGCTTTCTTGTTTTCACATAGGCCTTCTCAAATATATTCACAGCAGCCTTTACCCCTCAGCAGCTTCACTGAGCAAATTGTCTAAGAGGAGAATTTGTTAAGTTAATGCTATGCAAGGCAAAATAAAGCAGCAAATGAAGCATATTTTTAATGTACATCTTTTAGAATATGCAGCAATTATAGTCTCATTCTAATCAAATTCCCTAAGAAAAGTGTTGGCCTAAAATATTCACACCCTGAACCTGTTTGCTGTCAGGTTGTAAGAGGTAGTTTCCTCTCCTGTTTGGTGTATGATATTCCTGCATCTAGCTAGACATATCCCAGGGATGATCAGAGCAGAAGGCAGCAAGCGCCATTCACAGAAAACAGATTAGAAGTATAATCTAAAAACTGGTGGTGGAAAGCTTCCTAAATCCAGAGGGAATGCCAAATTCTCTTGGTATAAATATTTTAACAATAATCTCATTTATAACAGTTAGTCTGAGTTAAATCACAGCAAGCAGAACATTCGTTGTAATGCACTTAACTCCCAAATGGAGTCTTTTTTATTTATCACTTATGTATCCCATATATATCTTAATTTATCTAGCAGGTAATTTTTTGCTTATCAGGTGACACATGCACATGTTGAAGTAAAGTTGCATATATGTGTACAAGGGCAATAAATAATTTTGCCCTGCAGTGCATTGACTCCCTTAGCCCTGCTCCTGAGTCATGGTGCCCACAGGACACAGGGGAGAATTTCTGGCTCTGCCAGGTGCACTCAGCAAAGCTGGCAAGGCAGTGGGGCAGCACAGACATTTACCTGACCAGCTGGGGCAGCCAGCACTGGCGCTGGAGTGGGTTCAGCCTGGGGCTCTCCCCCTGCACTCTGTGCTTCAGGGTCCTGCTGAGGTGCCTGTGGTGCTCCCTCTGACCCTTCCTCTTCCTCCTCTTCCTCCTCTTCCTCCTCTTCCTCCTCTTCCTCCTCTCCTGACGACTCTGTGTGGACTTGACCCAAGCCTTCGCCATCGTCTGTCTCCTCCTCTTCTTCTTCTCCCTCCTCCTCTGACAGAACACATGTAAAATGATAGGATGAGCACCATGTGGAGAGTTCAGTCTTTAGGTAGTTAAAAAGCCATTTGCAATTGCATGGCAAAGTCACTGACAATCTTCTGCCTGGCAGAGAGGAACCTGCTCCCACCACCCTGGACTGGGCACTGCCATGGACCTGCCAGCTTTGGGGCAGGGAAGACACTGAACATACACACTGGTTAAAATCTTAGGCTGTCCCTTTCCATGGGAAGGAGGACAGAAATTCCTGTCAATGCAGTTATCCTCATGAGGAATGTGCAGCACTGCCCTGCACATTTTTGGGGAGAGGCTACCTGGGATCTGGCACAATCTGTCATGAGAAAAGTCCTTCTTCCAATTCTAGGTATATGTTTGTTTTAATGCCATTGAAGCTGTGCTCATAATTCTTTACTGGGTCAGTGCTTTGAATGCATGACTGGAAGTCTGAGATACCAACATGCCTAAACCAGACTGTCAAACTTGGTCAAACTGTTGCTTTTGTGCCATCTGACAAATCCTGTGGTCTGCAGTCATGGCTCAGGTTGTTTCCAGAGGAAGGCCTCTAACACTGCATTTTCTTTTTTATAATCTCACTAGTTATCCTAAAAAATGTGCAGGGTCATCCTTGCACTTTAGAGTAATAAATCTAGATTTTATTATAATTGATACATAATGCTTTGGTTACATTTTGGCATAGAGAGAAATATCTGATTTGATCTTTTCTACTCAGTATGATCATTTTGGTGAAATAAATTACATACCTCTGTCAAAATCAATTTCTCGTATTATTTTTTCTTCTCTACTGAGGTTCACTGTGAATTGGTTCATATTCTCATACCCATCCTCTATTTTTTCCATTTGAAATCCTTTAGAAGCTTCAGTAATTCTAAAATAGAAGTTGGTTATTGTCATTGGATTTGAAGATAAATTTATAAATTGTGATTATAAAAAACAAGAGTCTCAAGTTTAAATACTTACTTTTGTAGCAATGTTTTGGCATTCTGTAGAAACAAAAAAGAAATAACTGAATTCATAAATGATTCAATTTTCTCAGAGATTTTATGCATTGAGAAATAATTCTTACAATATCAGCTTTTAAAAGCACTAATAATAATTTAATAAGTTACAGCCACGACATCCAGGAATAAGATGAAATTTGGATGGTAATTAGCATACAGCTGAGTAAACCTTTTAGTTCTTCAAAGATGTTTTAATTAAAACAGGAATATGATGGGAAACATGCAGAGCTGATAGGAATGAACTCCAAAAGGAAATTTTTTTCCTCTTTTTTTTTTTGGTTGTGTTTGTGGTGAAAAGCATTTGGTCTGTTACCCTCTTTTGGAGACACAAAATTCTATTTGTCTCGGAAGAATATTGTACTCTTCAAAGGCAATTATTTGATGAAAGTAAGTGTTGGTTGTTTTAATTTGGTTTTGTTTGTAGTTGGTTTGGGTGTTTTGTTTTGTTTTCTTTTCTTTTCTTTTGTAGAAAATGCCATTTCAGCCTTTAATATAGAGGAATTGTAAAATTGCAGGACAGAAATTCTACACAAATGAATTCATTGGATGGGCTGCTAATGGCTCCCTACTCACCTCTCTTAAATTTACAGTAAGAAAACAAAAGACAAAAAAATAAGTAAAGGTATCAAAATGTAGCTTAGCGCACAAATTATTGAAAAGTTAATAATTTTGTCAATTTACAAGTGAAACCTATAATTCTCAGAAGATCATGTACACATGAACATTTTGTCTCACCATGGTATTGGTGGGAAAATAAAGATTACCTGGAAAATGTTTGAATTTCTATTTCTTCCAAGGGGACCAGAAATTCATACACAGGATAGTATATTTTGTTGCAAATAGCAAATACTTATATTCTTGATTTGGATACTATTCACAAGAAGAGTAGTTATTTGTCTGAGCTGATTCAGGTGTTTAAAAAAAATGAGTTTGTATACATGATCACTTGAAGATAAATGAACTCTGAATGGGCCTACAATTGAGAAATGCTTAAATAATATATCAATAAACCCATCATTCTTTTTCTGTCTTGATTTATAGACTTTATACCTGCAAAAACACAGCCATTTCTGGTTCTTCCATGAACTGGATTCCTGATTCAACCAGTTTTGAGACAGCTTCCAAGTGATCCGCATACTTCTTCATCAGGGAGCGGACGTGTTCCAGTTTCTCCTCTTGGGTTCTAGTGATTATTTGTGTCATCTCATTTTTTCTTTCTTCCAGTACAGAATAGAGATAATCAAATTTTTCACACAACTGTTCTTTCTGTCGTTTGCAGCATTCCTGTGAATCATTTGGTTTATGTTAAACATGTTATGTTCTTAAAAGGGTTTCTATTTTTACAGTTACTTGGAAGCATTTTCATCAAAGAAATTCCTCTTTCTGAACAGTGCAAAGGATTCTGAATGACCCCAGAGACTTTTATAATTTTCAAAGTCCAAGCTGTTGGAACAAAAGTTTAAAAACTCTTCTCAAACTCTGAATTTCAAGCCACTGAAAGCCCCCAAACAGGTTATTGTATAACTTGTGAGTCTGCTAAAAAAAGTAAAAAGGTATTTATGATGTCTGTAGTGATACATCAAAGTCTGCAGAAAAAGTAAAAGCTCCCACCGTATTAGCAGCTGGGTCCATTTGCGTGAACAGAATGGTTTTAAAAGGAGTGAGCATCTCAAACAGCTCTGGAGAATTTTCTTTTTCTGCCAGAGTACCTGGAACAATCCTGGCTGGGCTTGATTTTCACATACGCCCTCTTAGACTCTATTTGGACAAGGGGTGTCCATTATGTTCCATTTACTGTGCACTGAATGAGGTAGAGGTTCTGCAAAGAAAATGGGGTGTGACAGAAGCACAAAGACAAGAAGGAGGAATCAGATTCCAACCGGATGTTCACGCACTGATTTTCACACAGTTTCTTGAGACACTGCTATTGTCCCTCCAAGCAGAGAGCAGCATCTTTCACTGAGCTAGGAGGATGGGTTTGATGACTGCTGCATTGAGCGCTCTCTCAAAAGAACAGACTACGCTTGTGAAGGAGGGTTTATGGGGAGGAAATGGGGGATAGATTATATATAATGTCTAAGGTCTACCAAAGAGAAGTACTTGAGTCATCTGTGTGCCCCAGGGCATGACTTTATTGTGGTTAGACCTGGTTGTGGATGGTGTTGATTATTTAAATCTCTTTCCTAGGAACTGAGGCTGAATCGATTCCTCATCTTTGTCCCTTGAGGCATAATGCTGAGATTCTGGCAGCACAGGATTATTAACAGCCCAACAGAACTTTAGATAGTGATGACTTATTATTCACAGCACTTGACCAGAGAGAATCCCACTTTTTTCCTTGACTTTCAGCCAGAGCTCATTCCTATAAGTGGTATCATGAGCTCTGTATCAAAGGAGAAAGCCTTTCAAAGATCTGCATTTGGCTAAAATTCACTGTCTGCATGAGGGCAGAGAGGGGATTGAATGCACAGCTTGATGCATTAACCCAAGTATCCACCTCTGCTTCCCAATGACGAGGGCTAGGCTAAACAGGCACTCCTTGCAGGGGGTACAGGCTTGTCCTGCCCTTCTAGGAGTCCTTGTCACTTCCCAGAAATTCCTGATTAGTGCGATTACAGGGTGGAGTTAAGGAAGTTTTCAAACCAAGTGGGTCATGGTTTCTGAGTGTCCTTCTATGTTCAGATCTCAAACAATCTTCTCCCACTCCTCTCCTAGCTTTCTCCCCATGAGATGTTGTTCAGATCACTTGGAAAACAACCCTTATTTCGAGACAGGTGTGTGCTATCTTTGTCATTTGACACAGGACAAATGTTAGGGGAAGAAGAGCAAGCAAGCTATAGCAGGGTGCTCTGAGAGATCCTTCCCTGTCTTTAAGCACTAATAGATAGTATTTCCTGCCAGCAGATATTACGGAGTTGTGAATCTCATGAGTGAGAGTGCAAAACAGGTTTTTAACTGCAAATGCTGAAATATTTCTGAAATATTCTCTTTCTGCATAAAAAGTTCCCATATGAAGCCTCTGCCTGATGGAATTACTCTAATCAGATTCTGTGTAATGAAAGAGGTTAACAAATACATGACTTTGCATTCTAAAAAGTTCTCAGCCTTTTTGTTTTTTAAAGCACAGCTACATCAAAAACAAAGGAGTCCTTGCTACTGAGCATGAATCTCACTGCTTGTTCCAAAGGACCTGTATTGACTGGCCTATGCCCTTAGCATTTGAAAAAAACACTATAATTTTCCCTTTGTTATTAGACTCATTTACAGAGCTAAACAGAACCTAATTATTGATTATAGTTTTCCGGTATTTAGCATTTTAAATTCCTTTCTCAATTTTCAGTATAATATGGGAATTAGGTCGACTCTTCAATCAGTTAAAAGCTGTACAAGTATTTTGTGCTTTTTCTGGTTTTCAAGGTTGGACAGGAGCAGTGGCTAAATGTAGAACTATAGACTATTACTTATTCCAGCTAAATGTAAAATGATTTTCTGCTAAAGCAGATATTTATTGTTCTCTACAAAGTGTTAAGCAGAAAGAAGAGACAATCCTGGATTGTGTTATTTCCATGTGTAAACATTTCTGAGTTCCAGCTGTAGTCTCTTGTCCTCAAGGACAAACTGATGTCAATTCAGACAAATCTCTTGCATAGTAGGAAATGTGATTTGCTTGAAATGTAGCATGGAAGTGCCAAGGTAAACTCTAAGATCTGTTTTCTGCAATCTTTGACTTTAGAGGTGAAAAGCCTGATAAAACATCAGAAGGTAAAATGGCTGCATTTTCTTGGGGTTTGACTTTAAAGGTTAGATTTTAAACTGAGTGGATGACTCTGAGGAAGCTAGTTTCAGAAGCTGTTGTATTTTTAAGGTATTTTTAGCACAGTGTTTTCTCCATACATCAGACTAGGTGTTTGAAGATTTGTTTCTGGTTCAGCTAGTTCAGCTTAAATGAGTGTAAGCTTTTGCTTTTGTATAATTCTAATTTCTGCAGTTAACCTACTTGAAAGGCTTATTTCTGTCTGCAAAGTCCTGATAGCAGCCAATTTCATCCTTGCAGTGTGAAGGCTTCCCAGCTACAAAGTTCTGACTGCCATTAATGTGCTCTCTCTTTCACTTGGGCCAATGGATTTGTGTTCTTTGAAACAAACTCAGACATTTTCTGTTCCTTCTTGCTTGGAATTGTGTGCATCGATTGTATAATTGTTTTTTCTCACTAACTAGAATCTGTACATCTTGGATTAACTTATTTTTCCTTACCATTTCTCCTTTCTGCTCCATCTCTGAAGGGTCAATATAATTCTAATTGGGCTGAGAGGGATGCAACTCCTTCAGTACCTGCTTCATCAAATTCTGATCACAAAATCAATTCGTATGAACTCCTTTCAGCCTATTGCTCTGAGATGCTCAGATTGGTCAAAGGTGATGCTTATATTTGCTTTGCTGATGTAAAGCTCTCAGAGGAAGTGAAAGCCACTTCTGCTATTGAATAACACAAAACTAATTCCAGCTCTTCCAGAGTGAGGCCTTCACCAGAAAGTCCAGTAAGAACCCAAACTCTTCTCTCCCATGAGCAACAAAACAAGACTCCTTAAAGAACACCATATTAAAACACCACCTCTGTGCAGAAAGGCAAAGCAACCAAATACAAATACTGTGAAGCATGCTGTGCCTACCCTGTGACTGAGGCTAAGGCTCTGTTCACAAGACCTGTCAGACTTCAGACTTACTGGTCTTTTATGTAAAGATCTTAGATGGTCTTAGATGTAAATCTAATAATCTGATCTTAGACGTTAAATGAGCTGGGAGTTGATGGCATTTTGTGGATCTGCTTTTAACTTCACTGAGGTCCTATTCCACTAAGAATATTGAGCAAGACTTGCTGATATGGATTATCCTTACTCTTTATCCCCCACCATATAGCAAAGGTCAGAGGTGCTGAGCAGGGTGTACCCTTTGGTTGGTTGGGGCAGTACATCTTGGTAATGTACAAAGCCACAAGGAATGGTTTAGTGAAACAATGTGGGAATGCATTTGGGTAAAGTCAGGTCTGTTGAAGAATGATCATTACCAGAAGTTTAAAAGATGCAACATCACACTGAAATAACAGCATTTAAAGAGGTGGCACCTACCTCAACTGACTTGCAGGTCTCCTCCAGCTGCGTGACAATCCCTTGCATTCTGTCATTGCTCCCCACCAGGACTGCAATGCCATCACTCAGCTCAGACTAGGCAGTAAGGAGAGAGCAAGCAGAAGGGTGTCAGGTGCTGTCACAGTTCAGGGTGACACATCTAACAGTGGGGAGCAGGGGACAAACAAGCCATACCCAGGATATTACTTTGTCTTTCCACCAGAACTGAGAAAAACTGGAGCTTTATGTGCCCACAAGATACCTGCTTGTGTTTTGACATTTGTTTCCTCCCTCAACACACTATGAAAACAGGGATATTTTGGAATTTTTAATGGAGAAGAAACTGTGGTTTGGAAAGAGGGAAGAACTTTCTCCTAGGAAGAAAGTTCTAGGAAGTTCTTCTAGATGCTTTTGTCTGAAGTGCTGTTTCAACAGGCCCTGAATATTTCCTTTGGGTTTTTTGAGGGAAAAGACTCTTGAGGGGTTGTTTTTTCAGTGTCTGGCTGTAGCCACACCACTGTGGTATTTCCCTGACAACTGTAGCTTTTGGCTTTGAAGTAGAGAGGAGGTGGCCCATGGACCTGAAGTGACCAATGTGTTACAGAGTCCCTGGCGTGCAGGCAGTGGGGCTGGGGTTGTGTTGAGAGGGGACAAGAGAAAGGAGAAGAAGGTAGAGCCTAAGCCACTGGCATGAGGGAAATAAGTGGAGGAAGAAAATAATCCCTGAGTGTGGGGATGGAGATGACTGTGAGGTATCCCTAAGAGAGACAAAGAAGGCAGTTCTAGGGCCCTGGGGGAGGGTGATGGGGAGTGCAAGGGGCCCTTGGCACACCACTGCAGTAACACAGACAACTGTGTTTGTGGCCTCCACAGCTCTGTACAGGCTCCTCTGAGGCCTTCACAGCTCTGTAAAGCTCCTTTGAAGCATGCATCCTGCAGGCTCCAGGTTATGCCTCTTATCTTGGGCATGACAGCCCCTTTCCATGGGCACTCTGGAAAGGAAGACAAAGCTTGCAAATCTCCATGTAAATGAGTGATTGCGGGCATGGATTCAGTCCAAAAAACTTCTCCTTCTTCTCCCACCGCTTTTTGATTGAAAAGGATGTTTTTAACTCCTTTCCTAAAGTAACTCCTCATTTGTAGTTTACATGCACACATGCATCTGTGTGATGAAGTTGGAGGCTGGGATTGCAAACTTGGCCTGTCTGATTGCTTGCCCCACTGGGGCCTTCCAGAAAAATGAGCTGTTTATCTCAGGAGGATAACCCAGTGAGTCAGGTTTTAAATTAACACTGTATTAAAAATAAACAAGTCTTTTATTGGTGACAGCAAGGGCAGAAGATGTTAGGTACATCCTGTGCTGCCAACTATTGAATATTCCTTCATTCACTTGCAGGAGGAGGTTTTTCGCTTAACTTTTCTTAAAAATGGCATGCTTAAATGTAAACGTGTCTGACAGATAACTATTTGATTTGAAATGGTCTGTTCTCTTTCCAGTTCTTAGTGTTGAAAATACCACTTGTTTTTCTCATCTAAAAGAACAGCAAAAAAGGGATTAGGAACTCGAAAGAGAAATCCTCAGCTCCATATCAAAACTGGGACAAATTGTAGTATCTTTTTGTGTGATGTCTCATAAATTTATTTTCCTGTGTTTCTAAACAGTTTCTCCAGATTTATAGCTGCCTTTCAGTCACACACATGAGTGGCAAAGGCAACCCCAAACCCTTTTGGAAACTCACAGGAAGGTCATGGGAATACTTTCCTGTTGATGGTCCTGTCAGTTTCTTCAAGTACTTTGAGAAACAGAAAGATATTTACCTTCTGTTGCTGGTAAACACTTGTGAGAGGAGCAACCTGACAGTCTTTGTGGGCACCAAAGATTTTGCACAAGGAGCAGGTGGGCATTTCACAGTTCAAACAATAAATATTAATCCTCTCATCTTCATGCTCTTCGCACATTGGCTGGTCACACTTCCTTTCAGGTCTGCAAAAGAAAAGATTTGTTGAAAACAAAGATGGTGCTCATGAGTTTCTGATATCACCACTTAGAGTGTTAGCATGAAATATGGTACATTTGTACAGCTGCATCCAAGGCTGACTGAATAGACAGAGTAGAGTTAAACCTGCCCCATGGGATGACTAAAGAGACAATGGTACAGCTTAATGGTACAGTTTGATACAGCTCAAATGGCACAACATGATGTGATGACAAGACAGCAACATGACTTCATATAGGGATTCCCATATGAATGAGGAATGTGACTGGGAGTGTGACAGAATGCTTGCTCATATTTAAAAATTCAAATAACCTCACCAAGCCTGGACTCAGACTACTCATGTATTTTAATTAGCATGTTATCTAACATCTGTCTGAAATATGAAACATATGTAATTTCTTTCTGGTTCATCATGCAAACTGCTGTGCACTTGGCTTAATGCAGCAAAGCTGTTATGGGGAAGACTGACTTTAACCAAGAGTTGAAGATGCTGATGAACCTTTAGGCCCATAACTCTAAATCTCTGCTGCTGAGCTTTGTGAGGCCCTGGTCAGGACTGTCAATATCAAACAGCACTGGGTTCCTTACAGCCTTTCCATTAGGCCAGCAACCAAAACAAGGTGTCACACAAATTGATTTCAGCCAGGTGGCACATGTCTAACTTTACAGTGTCAAATGTTTTAGCAGTAGTTTATTCATCTGTCCCCAGCAGAAAAGGCATGGGCTACACAAGTGTTCTTCTCCTTTGCTAAGCTATGAACTGTTGCCACATTATAGCTCAGTCTGATCTTCTCTTTACCAAAACCATTTGGCTGTATACACACAAGTCTGCACAACCTGCTTTCTTAGGATAATTTAGTTGTAGCTTCTTTCAGATAAGCCACTTAACCAACATTCCCAGTGCAAGTGACAGCTCTGGTCTGGTGTGTGTGGGCAGTGTGGTGCTTTCCTAAGCCCACACTTCAGGCTTAGCACCCTGAGCACATCTGTGCAAACACATGAGAGTGTTAGCATGTGGTACAGAAGACAGGGACCAGTAGAATGATGGAAAGAGTGTGTCTGGGATTCAAGCCTTCAAAAGCCACCACTGTTACTGGTGGCTTTTGAATTTTAAATATTTTAATATTTAATATTCAATATTAAATATTTTCAGCACAAATCATTATCCCTTTCTGCTACTGCTTAGAAAGAGAACTATGACTTACCTGTAGCAAGTGGAACAATGGCATCAAATAATTATTTTTTCATCATTAGAAATGATGGAATTTAATGGAATTACATAGGAACCTTTTTTAAAGCCTTTCTACAGAGCTCTGTAGCAAGGAGGCAACCAGCCATTCTATTAAAGCTTAAAATATATGGGAAAAATAATTATTTTATGTAATATTACAGTAGAGATTTTCCATACCGTTTGGTAGAGTGGATACAGCATTTATTTCTTAATGACAAAGTACAGATTTTCCCTTCTGAAGGGAATGGAATATGATCAGTAAGATGCACTAGAAAAAAAAATCTAGCAAGAAACAAAATGTCTTACACATTTGTGGGTTCTTTTAATTCAAGAGTGCCCTGGAATTTAAATGGTTCATAAGGAAAATGTGATATACCAGAATAAAACAAGACAAACATTTCTGAAGAATGCCTGTATTATTTGGGTCAGATTTCCAGCATTCATTAACATAAGGCACTTTGTCAAATCAAGCATTGTTTCAATGCTAGTCAAAAGAGGTGTGTCTCCTCCATAAAAGATGCTTTACATTGTTTGCAGATTACTGCAAACAGCCCCTAATATATTCATGCCATAGTGCACCAGTGGGAGGGCCCATGTTTGAGTGCAATACATGAATTTCAAAGTGATTAATTAAGCCTGAGATAGCAGCTCTTCCTGCAAATATTTACAAGATCAGAGCCAGAAACTACTAGAATTTTATTGGACACTGGAATGGTGCCACTTGCATGAAAGACACACTACACAGAGCAAAAAGGTGACGGTGTCAAGCAAGTTCAGCCAGCAGCAGCCAACCTTCAAAGGTGCCGCAGAGAGCTCGAAGCAACCTGGCAGAACTCCCTGAACTAGTAGGGCCCTGAAGACAGTGTCAGAAGACTAGAAATAAACAGATTTACAGTCTCCTCCCCAGGCAATGCAAAAGGAAAGATTTTTAGCACACCACTCCTTGACTTCAGACAGGATCCTCTAGATCTGTGTTGGGGTAGCAAAGGCTGAAACACAACCTCTAAGTTTAAAATGGAGATTGCTTCTGAAACGGAAGATTAGAGAGTAGCTGATAGGAAAATGACTGCATGACTTTAGTTACAGAAAAGATTCACCACAGCTGTGTTGGTAACCAGAGAAGTGTCAGGTTGCTGAAATGTCCTGATACCTTTGTGGTCTCATTCTTGGACTCTTCTTTCTGAGATGCTAAGCCTCCATTTGACTGCCAGAGGCTTATTCTTTCCCACTGAATTAGTGTTTGGACCATTCCTGAAGAACTGACTGGGTCCTATTCTAAACTGCCTAGTACATGAAGACACTGACATACTGAAAGGGGTCCGGAAAAGGGCCCTGAAGATGATTAAGGGTCTACAGCAGCTCTCCTGTGAGGAGAGGCTGAGAAAGCTGGAACTTTCAGCCTGGATAAAGGAAGGTTAAGGGGAATCTTAACAATAACCTTAAACTTATCAATGCCTTTGGTTATCTAAATACCTGAATGGAGGGTGTAATGAGGATGGAGTCAGGCACTGTTCAATGCCAGGACTAGAGGCAGTGGGCACAAACTGAAACATGGGAGGTCCCCTCTGAAGATCATGAAACACTTTTTTTACTGTGAGAGCAACTGAGCACTGGCACGGGTTGCCCAGGAGGATTGTGGAGTTTCCATCCTTGAAGATACTCATGAACCATCTAGACTTGGTTCTGGGCAACTGGCTCCAGGTGGTCCTGCTTGAGCAGGTGGTTGGACCAGATGGCCTCCAGAGATTCCTTCCAATCTCAACCACTCTGTGACTTGGTGAGGCAGTGCAAAGTTGCTGGACACATAAAGAAGCACACTTTAATTAAGGGCATAGTAAGACCTTAGGAAAACTGCTGTTAGAAAGCATGTTTTCTGTAGGATTTTTTCAAATCCAAAAAGGCCTCTACTAAAGCGCTGAATCCAGTTATAATAGTGTTTTACTGAGGATCCTGAGACAGAAGGGCTGTAGCCCTTTCTGTGGCATCACATTACCTGGCGTTTGCACCTGGTCAGGGGATGGAGAGGATCTGCATGGCTCTGAGGCAGATCCAGGTCATTACTAAAGATATGAAACTACATTAGCCACAGGATCAATCTTGGGCATACAGTGCTAATGACTGGCCTCCACCTGACTTCATGCTGCTCACCACGACCCTTTGAGTCTGGTAGTACAGCCAGTTTTTGGTCCAGTTCACTTCCACTTTCCACTGTCCACTCTGTCACAGGAGACAGTGTCTAAAGTCTAGATAAACAGTTTCTACTGCTCTCTTCTCATGCACTGAGTTAGTCATCTCACTGTAAGAGGCTTTCACATTGGTCACGCTGATTTCCTCTTCATAAATGCATGCTGACTATTTCTAATCACCTTCTTGCCATTTATATATTTGGAAATGGCTTCCAGAAGGGTTTGCATGAAATGCTTTCTAGGGATCAGTGTGCATGACTAGCCTGTAGTTCCCTTGATTCTCCTTCTTGCATTCCTTGAAGATTGGAGGAACATTTGTTTTCCAGTCTACAGGAAACTGTACCAATTGCCACAGCCTTTCAAAGATTATGGAGAGTGACCTTGCAATAAGCCAGCTCCTTCACCACTTGTAGATGCCTCCCATCAGGATGTCCAATTTATTTTTTTTTAATATTCTCTAACCTGATCCCCCTCCACCAAAGGTGAGTGTTCCTAGCTCGAGAATTTCCCACTGGTCTCAGGGCACTATGATTCCATAAAACTCAACAGAACAGTGAAGTGTGAAGGTGAGTACATTGGCCTTTTCTACATCCTGTATTACATGAGGCCCTGCTCTGTCTAGTAGTGAACTCACACTTTCCCTAATCTTCCTTCTGCTGCTGATGCAGCTGTAGAAACTCTCCTTAGCCTCCATGTCCCTCATCATAATCAGTTCCAGGAGGACCTTGGCTTTTCTAACTTCATCTGCATGTGCTTGGGGAGTGTCTCAAAATCTTGCTGAATCACCTGTCCATCTTCTTTTTGCTTCTTTTTCAATTTTTTTTTTTTTTAATCAAGAGCTCTCTCTTAATCAACAGTGGTGTTTTGGCACCATTGCTTGAGTTCCTGTATATGGGGATAGACCATTTTGACCTTGGAGAAAGGTGATCCTTGAAAATCAACCACAATGATGGACTCTCTGAAAAGCAATGAAAAGCCCACCAATACACAGGGTAGAAATGGGGCTTGAAAAATGAGAAGGCTGTAGAAGTTCATGTGGACATAAGGATTCCTGAATCTCTGTAACACTACTATCATGGATGCCCAGCCCAAGAAAACTACTGGTGCAGGTGATCTTGGGGCTTTGTCTTGTGGGGAGCTGGAGAAGATCCAGACGATCCCACTCCTCATCTCCTTCACTGCATAGCTTGTGGGACTCCTCCTCTCTTGGTGACCTGTGCTCAGGGAGCAAATTTCCCTGGCCCAGCCTGTCTGAGATCCCCAGATGCCCCTGCATCCTGGCCTAGAGAGACACATCCTGCCTTGGGAGTTTGGGCTAAGACCCCGGAGGTGTCAGGGACAGACACTTCTGGTGCTGCTGGCTATGGGGCCCTGCAGGACATCAGCACCATCACAGAGCCCAATATAGGCTGCTCTCAGCGCAGCCTGGTCTCAGCTGCACACTCTGCTCCACCTGTGCTGGGGGCTGCAGGGACAGCCTGTTCCTCAGGCTCTCCCTGGTAAGTGCAAGGCAGAAAGAGTGCTCGACCCTACCTGATTAGGATTCAGCAGGTAACAAAGCCCAAAGCATCTTTTGATCTGGAATAGCCAGCTGAGATCATTAGAACCTGCCATATTTCACAAAAACTCACTGCCTCCTGTTGCTACCCTTTCCTGGTGACAGCAGGGTTCCTGATGTTCCTCAGATAGTTTAGGTGATCAGCAGCCTACAGATTTTCAAAGACTGGTTTAATATTTAGCCAACTCAGTTTCCACTGTTTTCAGTCCTTTGCTGTCTTTTAAAGCTTTTTGCAAGCCACCTCCTGCTAAAGAATTCTTCCGTTGTGTTGCTAACGCATTCTAAATTGGGCAACAGGCTATGCTGCCATCAGCTGGAATTTGATGAGCAATGGGATAAAAGACTATATGATGTGATACTTAGTAATAGGAGGGGCTGCATATGAGGGCTTAGGCGGACTCTCCCAACCTCAGTCCAGCTCCTGCCCCAGTTTTTATTTAAAAAAAAAAAAAATTCCTTAATTCAAATAGAAAGTCCAATTACAAAATAATAAATAAAATAAAATAAAATAAAATCAAGTAACCAAACATTTTGAAATAAACTAGTGAAATCTTTCTCCCTTTAAATTTATGTGAAATGCAGATGGGAGCTGGCCTCATTCTGGCACATGCAGTTAGAGTGAATTATACCCACAGGAGAACTTGGGAAGAGGTTCCTGAATGGGAAGAGGTTCCTGTCTGGAAATCACATGTGCCAGTTTGAAGGGCTGTCTTGGGAAGAGCAAGGAGGCAAAGATCACATCTCACCCTTTTTCCTATGTATCTCTGCCAGACCCCAGATGTCACGATGGAAGAGACTGGTATAAAAGGAAGAAGTGGGGAAGACTTGATTTCTCTTGACTTTTTGCTTTCAGTGGGACAGCACTGGGAGAAGCCATGAAAGATCTGCTCACACTCTCCGGGAAGCCCAAGGAATGTTAGGCAGAGGGAGATAAGCAGCTGAGGCCCACAAAGGGCTGAATAGTTTAGATAATGCTGCTATGCATTGCTGCTACATGTAGCCCTGACAATGACTTTCATTCTAAGGACATACATGAAGGTAAAATAAGCACCTTAACAGATTAAATAAACAAATCTTTTGGACAAATATATAAGCAAATCTATGTTTTTGTGTTTTTTTCCTATTCTCCTGTTTTATTCATCATGCATTTTACTTTTGTGGAATTTTAAAAAAAATCCACTAAATCTATTCTCACATTTCTACTTAACTGTATTTGTTCAAATCCCCCATGAACTACACAGGAAAGGGGACCTACCCTTTTTGTTTGTTTGGTTTGGTTTGGTATTTGGTTTTGTTTTGGTTTTTTGTTTATTAAATACAACTGTGAGCTGAAAAAAAAAACCAAAATCAAAGAAGACATGAGGCCACACATGTCCAGCTTATTTGATCAAAAGCAAAGTCCACCCTTGCAGCTTTGTTGATTCATTTCCTTTAGTCAGGTTTTCCTGACTAAAATAATGTTTGAGTATCAGTGACACATACGGGGGTAGCTGACCTTTACTTGGCATGGAGCGCAAAGGGCAGCAGAAAGGACAATTTTAAGCCAACTTCGTGCACTCCAGTGCTTTGGAGCTCCAACCTATGCCCAGCTGCCTCAGAGAGATTCAAGCAGTTGAGAGTAGCCAAAGCCATGTCAGGCTCTAAAGCTCTGCTGGTGACTCTCCTTCTCTGCTGGAGGAAGCATCCTCGGCCATCCCATGGACTGGGTTCTGTTGGTTGTGCCCTCCTGCACCAGTGATGCCATCTCTCTGTCCCTGGGAAATCCAGCTCCTTGTTGTGGTGGGATCAGAAGACTGTCAGGGAGCATGGCCAGGATTTCACCTTCCAGGTGAACAAAACACCTTGCCATACAGAACCGACTCTAAGGATCCATGCTGGTGACAAAAAACAGCTTCCCTGGGTGAGAGCTCCTTGCTTGGCGGTCTGGGGCCAGGTTAACTCCATCATAGAATCACAGAATTATAGAATGGTTGGGGTAGGAAAGGACCTGAGAGATCATGTAGTTCCAATGCCTCTGCCTTGAGCAGGGACATCTTTCACAAGCCCAGGTTGTGTGAAGTCCCATCCCTCCTGGCCTTGAATGGTGCCAGGGATGGAGCATCCACAACCTCTCTGGGAAACCTGTGCCAGTGCCTCACCACCCTCACAGAGAAGAATTTCTTTCTATATCTAATCTAAACCCACTGTCTTTCAGTTCACAGCCTTGTCCTATCACTTCATGCCCTTGTCAGAAGTCCCTCTCAGCTCTCCTGTAGGCCCCCTTTAGGTACTGGAAGGTGCTCTAAGGCCTCCCCTGAGCCTTCTCTTCTCCAGGCTGAACAACTCCAGCTCTTTCAGAGGAGAGATGCCCCAGCCCTCTGAGCACCTTTGTACCCCTCCTCTGGACTAACTCCAGCAGGTCCATGTCTTTCTTGTGCTAAGGACTCCAGAGCTGGATGCAGTATCCCAAGTGGGGTCTCATAAGAGCAAAGTCGAGGGAGAGAATTATTCTTCCCAGCTAAGTTCTCCACAGTGGTACCATGAATCCTACCCATCCCAAGGAAATAAAGATGAGAATATATTTTTTCTGTTTCTGGATCCATCATACATCAAATGCAAGAAATTACCATTCAGGAGAAATTATCATTACCATTACTTTTAAGAATTGACCATTACCATTACTTTTTAGAATTGACCTATTTCTCTGCTCTAAGGTCTTGATTCTTGTGCACAGCCGCACAGCTCTGAAACATATTGTTTACCACTCTTCCTTCTCTTTTATGGACTCATAAATAAGACTTGATTTCATAAGTTCACATCCCAAACTGACAGGAACACAGATATTTTTAACAGAATTTTCATTTGGCATTATGATGCAGGGTACCTTCTGTGTGAAATTCAGGTTTTTTTCTGTTTGCACTGTCTGTACCTCAGGATTTTCGAGTAAGATTTGAAATCCTTTCCCTTCTTTAGCATGAGAACGCACAAATAATTGTCTGAACTGTTTTTGCAATAAATGATGTTAATTAAGATACTTTTCCCTTAATCGTGTTAGTAGCTGTGCTGACCTCAAGGGCCTTGATTGCATGGGTAAGTGTTGCTCATGTGAATAAATATGGCCCAATCCTTTGCTGTAAGTGGAAGCAGGGAAGCTCAGCATCTATTTGGACACAGTTTTCTGTCCTCAGTGAGAGCTGACTTCATGGTGCAGCAGACAGTGAGGCATGGCAGCACAATCCCTTTCTGCTTTTCCAAGAGACAAAGTGACTAAATCAGCCTCACACATGTCCTCTGAAGGACACACATTCCCCTGTTACCTTGTGGACTCCTGCTTGTAGATGTCGATGATGTTCTCCACCAGCAGGTTCCTCTGCAGCCCATAGACGCCGTGTCGGTCCAGGACCACCTCGTGCCTGCAGGAGGGGCAGCGGAAGCGGCCCCCCGACGCCACAGTCGTTCCTCCCCTGGTCGGCAGGTAGGGGTTGGAGGCCTGTTCTCGCCAAGCAGCACAAGGAGAGGAAGGTATGACTGTGAAAAACCATGAAAGCCTCTTCCAAAAGCACCAAATGGTAGGAAACCATTTGTCACTGTGCCCAATGAGAGGGTAATTCCGACATGTCACCCCTGGGAAAGCACCTGGTGGCTGCTGGGCGAGGGGCCAGTCCTTCAGCTCACGCTCGGCCGTGTCACCACAGCCAACAGGTGGCACTTTCACCTGCTGGGAGCTCAGCCCTGGCACCCAGATACATCAACTTTGGCCTGAAATCACTCCCCCCACCCTGTCTCACCAACTGTTAATATTGATTCACCAAAACATGTTAAAAAATCTTCTTTCCCATTCATTCCAGCCAGTCCTGCTTGGGAAGCAGAGCTGTCTGTGGGAAGAAACTTACCTGGAAGATGTCACTGGCACATTTCCGACAGAGGTTGTGCTGGCAGGGCAGGATGACCACTGGCTTGGTGAACATCTCCAAACAGATGGGGCAGATCAGCTGTTTCTCCAGGTTGTCCATAGTTTGCTGCTCTTTGGAGAACGACTTGTAGCTCAGGGAGGTGCTCATCCCTAGCTTTTCCCGGGGCATGCGCTCAGGGCCACGGCCTTGTGGAGAGGTTTTGGGGCTAATTTCCCCTGAGATAAGTCCAAGGCTGTCTGTGATCAGAGGCTCTCTGTGCTGCTCGGGCCGGAGGACATTGTTTGAGCCAGGGGCCAAGCAGAGCCGGGGCTGTTTTTAGCAGCGCTGCGTCACGAGCTGCCGTCCTGCCGTGCCCATATATGCGCGTGAGAGCAGGACGGGCTGGGACAGGTGACAGCTGCCGGGGAGGGGGGAGAGGCCCTGGCTCTCCTCACTCACACATGGCAGCCTTCACCCCTTGAGGAGTTGTGGGAGTGATAAGCAAAGGCCATCTGCTCCCTTCCCTTATCTTTGCGGGTCAATGGAGATTGAAAGGCCTGCCCCAGCCTGTGCAGCCGCATCCTGCAGCCTAATGGACATTCTGTTGCCAGTGGGCAGCCACTGAGGCAGGATGTCATTTTGCCATGTGTTTTGGGGGGCTCCAGGATCCTACCTTTCCAAGGTGTGAAGTACATGTGGTTACTGGAGAGGACAATAGGAGCGATGGCTGCTCTGGAGCTTGAACACTTCAGGGTGTAAACATCTCGCCACCTTGAAAACCAGACGTCAGACACTTCAGACTTGTTGTGAATTATAACATCTGTATTGTCTCACCCTTCTCATGAGACTGAAAGTAGAAAAAAGCTTTTATAAAGCCTCTCAGTTGCCCCATCTCTGGGTCAGAAAAGGATATAATCCAACACCAGACAAACAAAATTGCTTGCCTATAACTGTGCTTGAGTTTGTTCTGGTAAGATTTTGGTTTCAGGAGCTATAACATAAAAATCCAACTTGATTTTGTGCCATTTGTGCACATTAACTCCATGGGCAGGTTAAATATGCATGAAAACATTTGAATTTCCTGATGAGAAAAAATACAGTATGAAAGGCTTTCATTTGTGCTCTTAGAGAATAGGTACTAATTGTATATGCTCTCTCTCTGATAGTTTGATTCAAATATATTTTAGTTTTGGGCACTGCTGTGTTTATATCTGTTTATTAGACACTGATATCCCTTTCAGCTTGGCACTTGTTCCAGAGTTATTTTTAAAATGACAATTTCCCAGATAATTTGTGACATGTGATGCCTGATCTTAAGGGAAAGCCATCTGTGCTTCTAGTTGCCAATAATTTATCACACAACTGTACAAGCAATAAATATCTCATCTTCAAATTTAAGCCAATGTCCCCACATTACTGTATAAAATCACTTTGCCACCTTACTGTACATGTAATCAGAATATTTTCTTCTCTTTCAGCCAATAACTACAATACTTTCTCAGTTCACTGTCTTGTAGAAACCTTTAATGTTTATTCTGCCTTATGACTGTACAGGGCTAGCATCTGAAAAATGCAGTCGAGCAGCTGAGTGAGTGCCCATGCACCCAGGGACAGACCCCCAATTCTAAAGCAGGGCCCTCAGTCTGCATGCAACACCAACTCTGGAAACTGTGCACTTCAGGAAAATATAAAAGTGAAGGTTTTCATGGATTTATGCACAAAAATGAATACTATCCTCTGCATGCAATTGTAATAAATAAATGTATTTATTTAAATTAAATTAAATGTATTATTGACTATTTTATTTTCAGTGCCTCACATGCTTCTTAAGTGTTTAAGTGAACTCCTGTATTCATTTACAGCCCACCAAGCTGAAAATTCCCCTGTGTAAACTTACACACATTTGTCAGCAGTCCCATAGAAACAAATCGATTTTTCGAAGTCTTGCATTCATGGGAAATTAGTCACAGCTTAGTTAAACCCACCTGAAATCACACCCTTGCTTCGACTGCCTGGTGTGGACAAGAGCCTGGAGTCCAGTGGGAGAAGCTGCTCTGGCAGCTGAGCTGTGGACAGCTGGGGCTTTTGGCAGGGCTGGCAGGGAGCCCTCCCTGGCAGCAGCAAGAAGATATTTCTCTTCTTTCCCTGCCCTCATAGCTGGGTCAGAGGTGACTTTTGCATCTGGAGGAATCTGAATGCCTCATTCTTGCCCTCCTCCTCTGAGTCAGCTGCCCCTTGCACAGCAAAACCTGCTTCAATAAGAGGCTCTGAATTAGATGAGGAAAGCCATCCTCATCTGGCAGGGCAGAAACTTCCACCTTACTGCACAGGCAGAAACAGAGAAATTCTGGAGGGAAAATCTGAAGGCTAGAAATGTCAGCACACAAAAACACCTGCCTATGCTGATGTAGGGAAGGGGGTGTTCATGGCATGCAAAAAAAGCCATGCTGGCCCTCTGGAGAATGAACTGAGGCACCTCTCAGAGTGTAACATGCCTCTGGGATGTGATTCTGGTGATTTTATACCTACCCACGGGGTAACCCCCAGAAGCCTTCTGTTGTGTGGCTGAGCAGGACATCTGATGCATCTGCAGAGGACATCTGGTGACAACAAGGTGAGGGACAGAGTGCTGCTGGTTTTCCCCTTTCTGTGTGCTGAAGCATGCTGACATGGAACAGGTAACAAACAGCACAACCAAAAAGAGGAGTCAACAAAACAAAGACAAACCCATCTTTTGCAACCAGGCCTGAGCTGAAATATTTTTCTGGCAGGAACATGTACTACAGACATGTGAAAAATTAGTACAGGCTTTTCCAACAAGGTATTGTGAACCACAGCATTAAATTACAGGTAAAGAAATGCAGAGGTTTGACCACACTTGCAAAGGCAGTAGGAGAAGTGCCAGGAAAGCCACACATTGTATGACCACTCTGCAAGAAGGAGGAAGAGAAGAGCCAAGTCCAAGACACTGAGGAGAAACAGAAAGATCCTGCAGCTGGTCTTCAGCAGGGACTAGTTAGGGTAAGCCTCAAAGAACTCGCACTGAGCAAGAGCCTGGCACTCTCCTTTCTCTCCCTGGCATCCTTGTTCTCCTCCTCTTCCTCTCCTCCCATTTCTGCAGGGGAAGGCCACCAGTACATACTGTTGTCCACCTCTGAAGAGCCACCAAGTCAAGCCATCTCTCAGGGGACAAAGGGCAAGAGGAATTGCTTTAACACTCCTCCTGGACAGAAAATCTGGATGTCTGCCAGCCATCACCATGAAGAAATATTTTAATTTTTTTTTCAGTATTGCTTTTCTGGGAGTGTTACCTGGCTTTCTTGACATGAGCAGAACACTAATTCCTAAATATAGGCTTGCTTTTACAGACATTCCTTCTAACTCCTCTATTTTGCAGCCAAATAACATCTTGTGGTCTGTGGACTGATGGCTGGAACCTGGAAAGCTGGCTGCAAAGCAGTGGGCTTAGGAGAGGGATTTGGAGGAGGAAAGAGAGGTTGAGTGATGTCCAGGTTCAGGTTTCAATGCCATAATGACATCTCTGGGTTTTGCATTCACAGAATTCCCCTCTGCAACCTCTTATCTTGCACCAGAGTTGTGAAGCTCTTGTGTGTCACTCAGAAAATCAGCCCTGTGGCTCTTTCGCATGACTGGAAAACAAAGAGAAAAATCATATTTTGGCCAGAGGATGCTGTCAAAAATATGCTCCCACATGAGTTGTTTCTCCAAGGAGCCTGCAGAGACAAGGTGCTCTCTGCAAGGAGCAGACTCCTTGTCCAGGCATCCTGTCCTGGACATGGTAGGTAGTGAGAAGCATCCTGGTCCCTGTGGTGACAGTTCCTTGGCCTGCTGCCACCCCACCTTCTGCCTGTCCTGGGGCATGAGCAAGCACCCTGCCACCCAGCCCAGGAGCTGGCACACCTCTACACTGGCAGCTGCCTAAAACAGCTGGGAGCTGCCCATCATTCCCTGGGCAGGGATCAACACCCACCCCAGCAGCTGCCTCCAGCAGCTCCCCACACTGCTGAGGCTGGTGGGACACTTCCTGCTGGGCTGTTGTGGGAAGCACCTGCAGGCTTCCAACAACAGCCCAGCTGCTGGAAGAGGACAGAGCTGGTGGGTGCCTTAGCAATACAAAATCCTAACAAACATGAAGTGGCCGTCTCCAATTCTGCCTACCCAAATGTGAATCTTCAGGCAAAATTATGATGCATCCTTCCCCTCTTCCCATACTGCTACATCTGCTTGTTGTTCTGGCTGAAAAGATTTGCATTTTTAGCCAAGCATGCCTCGGGGAGGCTCGGGGAGGTTCTCCATCAATCTCACCTTTTGTCTGTGCCCATTTACCCTGCCTGAACGGTCCCAAGCACCGGCATTCCCACCTACAAGCAAGCATGCTGCAGAGGCTCAAATTTCACTTACATTGGCAACACCTTCATGAGCCGACAAGGCAGCTATAAGATGAAGCCCTCCTACCTATACAAGTGCAAACTGCAAATTCTATTTTGCATTTCATGATTTTATTGTGATCAATATACACGCCATGATAAATACCGAGACTACCCTTGTGTGTGACTCAATTTATGCAGCCAAAGAAAGCCCCTGCAACAGAGACAAGTGCTTTCAAAAACACTTGCCTTTGAGACTGACATTTTTTCCATTCAACACACACACACACATATATATACATATATATATATATATATATATCTGTCTTTGTGTACCTCATATGTGATGACAGGCCATATGTGGTCAGTATTTGGAGACCTTCTAAAAACAGTCTGAGGGCTGTTTTCAGATGTCCTGGAAAACAAAGACCAGCACAGGAGATAATGACATATTTGGAAAGTTTCTTTTGCACATATGAAATCACAGCAGAAGAGGAAAGCTCAAAGCATTTCCAAGGGTGAGTCACTGGGAGCACATCAAATGTATGGGGCATGAGGCTTCAGGAACCAGCTACAAAGACCAGACAGAGGGAGGATGTCTGCCCTTTTCTTTTTAATAGAGGATGGACACTGCCCTGAGCTGAACTGTGCTCAAAAGCAGCCCTCTCTGAGTTTATCCATGCTCAAGAATCTTCTACAGTTTGTAGCAAACCAGGAGAAACATGGGATAAAAGGGTGTATGAATTAGATAACTTCTGTTCCAAATGAATCAGTGGTACCAACATCAATTATAGCAGATAAGCCTCAGAGATTTGGATTAAAAGACCTTGGAACAGTGAGAGTCTGCGGACAAACTGCATCAAGGACTCTTTTCTGCATGCTGTGGTTCTGCCATCCTTGT